TTTCTTTTTTTACTATGAAAATGTATTGCTAATATTTCTTTTTTTTACTATGTAAATGTATTGCTAATATTTCTTTTTTTACTATGAAAATGTATTGCTAATATTTCTTTTTTTTTTACTATGAAAATGTATTGCTAATATTTCTTTTTTTTTACTATGAAAATATATTGCTAATATTTCTTTTTTTTACTATGAAAATGTATGGCTAATATTTCTTGTTTTACGATGAAAATGTATTGCTAATATTCCCTTTTATTACTATGAAAATGTATTGCTAATATTCCCTTTTATTACTATGAAAATGTATTGCTAATATTTCCTTTTTTTACGATGAAAATGTATTGCTAATATTTCTTTCTTTACTATGAAAATGTATTTCTAATATTTCTTTTTTCTACTATGTAAATGTATTGCTAATATTTTTTTTACTATGAAAATGTATTGCTATTATTTCTTTTTTTTACTATGATAATGTATTGCTAATATTTCATTTTTTTACTATGAAAATGTATTGCTAATATTTCTTTTTTTCTATGAAAATGTATTGCTAATATTTCTTTTTTTTACTATGAAAATGTATTGCTAATATTTTTTTTTTACTATGAAAATGTATTGCTAATATTTCATTTTTTTTTACTATGAAAATGTATTTCTAATATTTCTTTTTTTCTATGAAAATGTATTGCTAATATTTCATTTTTTTTACATATGAAAATGTATTGCTAATATTTTTACTATAAAACTGTATTTTTATATCTTTTTAATTTAGGGATTCGCTATTTGCTCATGACTTGGACTCTAACAGGCGCTTCAACCTCGGGTTAGTGTGAACCTGTGAACAACAGTAATTAAGAGGCGGTTTCACGTTCCTGAAAAAAAAGCTCCCGATCAGATGGCTTGCTACCATACTCAGGATGGAAGCGTACAGCGTAGAGCCCTGCTTGTAACAGCCCATCTCACGAGGAAATGTATTGTCACTAAGCTACGGGCAGGAACTAGGATATGGCCATCTTCAGTCAGTCGAAATATCCAAGAGTTTGACAAGACATCAAATCAAGTAAAACGATTAATAATAATAATAATAATAATAATAATAATAATAATAATAATAGTAGTTGCCAAGAGCGGCATCTAGTAAACGAGTATAAATATTCCATAACCTGTAACATTGCCAGCAGTTTGTGCTGTAATGTAGTTTCGTTTGAAAATCAATAATTTACAATAGGCTCGGCGTTGATATATTTATTTTTCGCCAATAGATGAGAGCTATATGATGCAAGATAAATTGTTATTTACTGTAGTCTTCTAAGGCGAAATCTTGACGCTGTTCAGACATATCACAGATCATTGTTCTCTTTCTATAAATAACATTGTCTTAGAGATGATTACCGGCGTGCAGGCCATATAATTGTGCTTCGTTTTGAAGCCGTAAAGCCGGCTTCGTCACTATCAGGCTATTTTCTAAGTTGGAGATAAAACAAATCATTTTGTGTAGAATAGAACAAGTAAAACTATTGATAAAAATTGTTTCAAATGGCTATGTAATATGGCTTTGAATGAATTCTGGTTAATAGTGTTCTCACCATGAGACTCGAGCTTCAAATCTTACCAGAGTCGATTTCTCTAAGTGCAATTATACCTCCCTGTCAAGAGGCATATACTTTTACTAAAATTCACTTTGAAGGCGCGAGAGTCACTCAAGGTATAGTGTTAAAATAGTTATAATTAATGTGGTGAAATGTCACACTATCCATTTACTCAGCAGTAAGGAAAACTAATTTTGAATTTAAGTTAAATTTATTAAAATCTACATTAAGTTGTTTACTTTGGTTATCGACATATCAACTCCTTTTTTGTCATTTAATGCTGAAATTTAATTTTCTTCAGGAGATTTAAAGTAACAAAAATACGATATGTTATTCTGCTTTCACAATTGCATACATGGTAGATGATGCTCAACTTTTGTGCATATACCTTTTTGTGTGGACATAATTACTAGATGCAGTGATAAGTATGTTTCATATGGTAGTTTTATTGAAATTATATTTTGGATTACGGTTTGATTTCTTTAAGACATTGTATAATATTATATGGATTAATGTCATAAAAGTTCTTTCGTGTTAGTTGGTGGGTTGGCTGATTTTTTGTGGCATGTCACTAGATAGTCAGTCTCCTCCTCATCTGTGAGAAAATTGTCCAACATTTACTGTCAGATAAGAGGTTTGAAAATTGCATAACAGTTTAGCATACTTTTCTTTGTTTCCAATGGAATTTTCCTATTTCTTAATACTCTGAGTAGCTTTTTGAAGGCATCTTTCATTATTTCAGTTTACTACGGATTTCAGTATCACATTTTCCATTATCTATTATAACACTTCCCAGATTAAATTTCTGTATTTTCTTAATTTTGACATCTCCATTTTGTAGGTTTTATCTTAGGCTGGCCCTTTTGCTGGCAACCATATATTCTTCCTTCTTACGATAGATGGTGAGGTCTTTTTCTTCTACTATACTCATAACATAAAAAAAATTCTAATCTAGAGCCACATGACAAATATGGTAGAAAGCTGAATGAAATCAGCTAATTAGTGCATATAGACACACTGGATACCAGAAATTTAAACTTCTCTTGATAAATAGTTGTATCTGATATTTGTTTATATTCACCACCCTCATATTTGATCTCATCAATGAAAACATTTATGGAATTTAAAGATTGCATGTTGCTGTTTGTTTTGTTTTGTTTTGTTTGTTTAATGGCATATCAACTCATTATGGGTCATATAATGTTGAAATTTAATTTTCTTGGGAGCATTGATGTAATAAAAATATATGTTAATTGAATTGAATACATGGTAGATATTACTCAGCTTTTGGGCATATATATGTTTGTATGGTCATCATTACTAGACGCGGTGATATGTATGTTTTATGTTGTATGGATGGAGTTATATTTTGGAATGCAGTTTGATTTCTTTAAGAAGTTGTAGGATATTATATGGATTAATGGATTAGGATATTATATGGACTAATGTCACGAAAGAGTTCTTTCATATTGGTTGCTTGGTTGATTTTATTTAGAAACATATGAACCGCTATGGGTTATTTAATGCCGAAATCTAAATCTTTTGAATGAAATTGCATGCCTTCAACTGCAGATAAAAATGTATTGCTAGCCATTTTGCTATAAAATGTATTTTTTATCATTCTACTATGAATAGGTATTGCTGGTAATTTTGCTATAAACATCTATTTTGAATACATGGTGGATGTTACTTAGCTTTGGGGCATAAACATGTTTGTGTGGACATCGTTACTAGGGGCAGTGATAAGTGTTTTATGTGGTAGTTTTGTTGAAGTTATATTTTGGAATATAGTTTAATTTCTTTGAGAAATTTTAGAACGAAAATGTATTGCTGGTAATTTTTAAAATACTTTCCAAAACGTATTGCTGGTAATTTTTTAATTTTTGTTTTTTTCAAAAATGTATTGTTTGTAATTTTCTTTTTTCCAAAAATGTATTGCTGGTCATTTTTGACTATGAAAATTTATTGCTGATATTTTTTTACTATAAACATTTTTATACTATCCTAGTGTTTTAACCTCAGTTTACCCTGAGAGATCAGGATGGACATGGAAACGACAGCAGTTAGGTCTTTTGCTCCTCAAAACCTCCTGATCAAAGGACTTTCTACCGGATGTAGTTTGTCGTCAAACCCAGCACACGTGGTGTACTGTGTGTGAAAAAGCGGTTGGTAGAAAATAAAGATTATAAATATATGGAGGATAGATTACGAGTCACACGTGACTTGAAGAGGTAAAGGTCGCAAAAAGAGACAGTTGAAATTTCTGTGGCATAAAACGAGGAAAAATGGATTGGAAACTTTGAAGTAGAGAATGTTGATGAATACACCACATGTAGAAAAACGTCCCATACCAACTACATGGTAGCTTGCTGCTTCGTATTTGCAACGTGGTGACAAGAATTAGGATGCAGGTAAATCAGCAGTCGATTTTTCCTGCACAGCAACTGTTCATTGTATTCTACAAGGAAGCCAGTTGCTCACAATAACAGAGAGTTTAGTTTCCAGTCATTTTTTTTTAAAAAAAAACGTGAATTTCATTTGGATCAGGCAATACAACCTAAAAACAGTATTCTGAAGTAGATGTCGTTTAATGTTATACGAGACCTGTCTTTCAACCAGAAAGGTTTTTTTTTTTTACCAAAAACCGTAACAATCGATAGGTCTCACCTCTAATCATGTCAATTGTAACATCTTTAATTCTAGTGTCAATCTTTATCTATACTACGTATCCTCATAATCTAATCTTACCCTTCTTAAGTTTATACAATACTACCCATTAAGTAAGTCATAAATTTGCATGGCTCTTGGGCCCCGTTTTGAGCGGATAAAAACGAATTAAACTTTCATTACAAGTTACTTGGTAAGTTAAAACTTCATTTGGCCACTTCTCCCTAATTAGGGCTGCATTGTTCATTACAGGAAGGCAGCAAGATAATATGGTGGACGCTTGATTCGACTCTTCTTTCAATATGGCGGGTATTTCATTGACAGGATTAACTGGAGGATAGATCCGACCTAAGAGAATAATCTTTGTGTGTGACGAAAGCCGTTCATCAGTTTACAAGTGTCAGCACAAGATTTCAACGCGAATGGCAGGAAATTAAAATCTCTTCAAGATGGTCTCCCGACAGCAATTAAGCTGTTTCCTGCCTTGGGGAAATGGTTGATTGAACTTAATCTCACACTGAAATAAACAGAACCCAGTTTAATGCATTGGTCATGTAACTGAGAGGTTTGGAATGAAACATTCTACTTTTCCTGGGGATTAATTTAGGAGATGTCCCGGGATTTTGCTTCCAAATCAAATAAGGGGAAACTTTTGTTATAAATCGCTAAATTTGTATTCTGTTATAATCTGTTACCATTTGACCACAAGGTTTAGACTGTTTATATCTTTCTATCCATTTCAGTCAGCTCAAATCTATCTATCTATCTATCTATCTATCTATCTATCTATCTATCTATCTATCTGGTTTAGTCTGTATATATTTTTCTATTTCAGTCTGTTCACATCTATCTATCTATCTATCTATCTATCTATCTATCTATCTATCTATCTATCTATCTCAGTCTGTTCATATCTATCTATCTATCTATCTATCTATCTAGTTTAGTCTGTTTATATTTTTCTATTTCAGTCTGTTCACATCTATCTATCTATCTATCTATCTATCTATCTATCTATCTATCTATCTATCTCAGTCTGTTCATATCTATCTATCTATCTATCTATCTATCTATCTATCTATCTATCTATCTAGTTTAGTCTGTTTATATTTTTCTATTTCAGTCTGTTCACATCTATCTATCTATCTATCTATCTATCTATCTATCTATCTATCTATCTATTACAGTATATTTTATCTATCCATTACATATTCCCATCTATCTATCTATCTATCTATCTGGTTTAGTCTGTTTATATTTTTCTATTTCAGATTTTATTTTCAGATTTAGAATCTTTGATGATAAATAACTAAAATGTACCTGATTGTATATATATACGGTTTTTTTTTTTTTTTTTTTTTAAGTAGGGATAAGAAATTATAATGATGACGATTCTCGCCTGACTAACTAATAGTTTCATGAAAAGTTCGGCAAATTCCCCAGACCTATTTCGTCTCTTTTTTAAAGATTTTCAGATATCGCGCTTGTTTCAGACTGACACCTCTCCGAGAATAGTCAGGGTGCTTTTATCAGGTACTTTTATCAAGACACTATATCGAGATACATTTCCAAGTCTGCAGGAATTCTGACTCTTAGTCACGTGACTACTGCGTTTTTTTTGTTTTTTTTTTTTATTATTTCGTTCTAGCACAACCATCGACGGCTTCGGAACACATTCGTGAACCAAACTTCTTTTACACGATTCGACTATCTAATACAACAAAATGAGATTATCTCAGATTAATACCTCTCCGAGAATGGCATTTTTATCGAGACATCATTATTTCCATTTAAAGATATATTTCCAAACAAGGCTGAAAAAATTCTACCTGACCACTGCATTAGGATTTGTGTCTTGGTGCCAGCATAAACATCGACATCATCCGAACACTTCCGTCAACCCAATTTCACTCACAAGGTTTGGATCAACCCGACGAAAATTGTGCTGACAAAAATATTAATATACAACCCAGTGTGTTTTAAAATTCTTTTATTGCTCAAGAATGGTCATCATCAGGAGAAAAAAAATTCCTGCTATTGAACCACAGGAGTGAATGACTGTATATAAAGAGGATGAACTTTTCATTTGTTTTTTTATCGTTAATTTTTGGTCAGTAATTTTATTGATCAAAAGCCTTTTACAGTCTCTTTTAAAGAGAGATTAGGAGACTCATGTGACTCAGAGTTACTTCCTTAGTCCTTTTGATAGCCTTATTTGTTTCTTGCAAGCGGAGATGTATGTTATGTGTATGTTATCTTTTATTTTTTGGGAGTGTGTGTGATGTGTGTATATGTATATATTTGCGTGAGTGCCTGTATGTGGGAGACCTCATTACTTTTGCCCGCTTGTGTATTGAGTGTGGTTGGGGTGAGAGGGTTTAGGGGGTCACCTTGCGCCCTTCGTGGGTAGTATTCTCTGCTATATAGTAACAGTACAGTATATTCAACTCTGCAGAGATTATAATGTGTAAGAGAGAAATATGGCGGTGTGATCTATAGGGTTATATATTAATCCTATCTGTGCTGTTTTGGTAGCTGTTAAATCAGAGAAGACAATGTGTTTTGAGGCGCAACATCCATTTGTCTTCATGTTCTTCTAGTATTTTCCTAAGTTTATCTATTGTGTCTATTTCAGTTCTTTCAATAATAGTGAATTTTGCATGGCTATGAAAATCATGTTTTTTCCAGGCGGAAATGGTTTTCTAATAATCTTCCGCTACAAGCCCACTTAATCCGATTCAGATAATTATTAAATCTGTTGTGAAAGGGCTATTCAAATATATATATATATATATATATATATATATATATATATATATATATATATATATATTTGAAATAATTTATTTCCTTTAATAATATGTAACACTTCAAAAATCACCTAAATTTAAACTTTAACTATGGAATCAAACTTAAATCTAAAGAAATTTCAAATATTAAAATATAGATTATGATTGTGAAGTGTATGAAGTGTATATATAATTTATGTATGAAGATGAATGATCTTTTGTGTATATTGTTACATGTGTGTCTATGTGTGTATTTGTACTTGTTAATGAGAGTATGTATAAATTTATAGAAATATATTTGTGAGATATATATAAGAGAAAAAAACAAAATCTTTAATATTACCCTCTAATACCATTAAATAATGAAACCTAAATCTTAATTAAACACTAATATAACAATAAATAAAAATTGCATTCACAAATTATTTTAGATATTAAAATAATATAGATGTTATTGTTACCGTATTTTTCTTCCTATATTGTGGAAACACAATTGGTCGGGTAAATGAACTATTGTAATTTTAAATATTTCTTTAATATGTTCTCGATAAATATATTTATTACAATAGTAGTTAACTTGTATTAAATCCCTAAACTATTTACTTAAAAAATTAAATACTTAAATTAATATCTTCCAATTTTTTAGACACCTAATTTTTTATCAAACATTGTAATCTATCTTTTACATAATTTTGTTAAAACAAAATTACAGCCTCTTTCGATTCACTTCCGTCTCCCCCTCTCTCTTTGCCATAAAACTCTTTTGAATACGTCTGGCTTTTTTTCCCCTTTTTCTCTCTTTTGATTCACTTCCCTCTCCTCATCCCTCTTTGCCATAAATCTCATTTGGATACGTCTGTTTTTTTTTTCCATTTTTTTCTTTTTTCCTTTTTCTTTATTCCCTTTCCTCACTATTCCTACATATCACTTCCGTTTTCTTTAACTATATAAATAGGTCAAGGTTAGGTCACTCCTCCTACCCCAATATAAAGCTTATTTAAGAGAGATGTAAATTTAACCCTCCCTATACTTTGTATTATCTCTTTAACCGCCACCTTCACCCTCCCTGTTTAATTACAAAAATTACACTACCCATCAATTTCTAATCACATTTTCCCTCTCATTTCATTGTTGGAAGTGTTACCTGATGATCCGAAATCCTTTAAAAATGATTTTGGTGAAATAAATTATTGTAATGGTACCTTAAAGTGGTCTGTTTTTCATTAAATATTAGCTCTGTTCTTCACATTGAGCTCTCAGGATTTCATCCTCCTTGGATTTACCAATTCGGTTTACCAAGTTCTTCATAACTTAACTATATATATATATATATATATATATATATATATATATATATATATATATATATGCATTAATAAACATAGTATCAACAGCAAAAAAAATTAAACCCTTAAGTAGACCCACTTCCTGTTTTCCTCCTTTTGAAATGTGAGCCATCATCTTTTCATATCAAAATAAAAGACGTTGTCGATGCTTCCCAAAAGAAACACATCTACATAGTCATGTCATATACAGATATATCCATTAACATTTTCGTTGTGTATGTAATTTACTTCCTCGTACATAAACTCTTAAACTTTCCTTTTACTATTTTGTTTAATGAACATTATCTGGCGTTGAAAATAATCGATCTCTGCTATTTTGTGCATATATCTTTTCACGGCTATTATTTCATGTACTGAAAATACAGACATACAATTTCTCAGAAGAAGTTTTATCCATTATTTATAGACGTAGTCAACATATATTTGTCAGGCAAACTCACATTCCCTCCGTACTTGATCGGTGAGAAGTAACTTCCTGTCAAACAGCATTTTTTTTCCTGCGAACCACAGTGAAACAAACTCCCAACAGGATGCTCTCCTGATCACTACAATCTGTCGCATATACCAATATGACTATTATTGGATTAACACCCTTGCTTTGAAAAACTAGTCAAAATGTATAAACTATTTAATTGACGCTTGCTTATAGTATAAAATCTTAAGGAACCTTTTCTAGATACGAGTCAGAATATTTGCTAACAGAAAAATAAATCCTATTTATCTAATTAATATTCTGTAGTAAAAAAAAAAAGTAAATCTGGACCTTTTCTGTTGTAGAACAAACACCAGATAATTATAGACACTTTTCAGCCTATAGCCGATGCTGCAGATCTAGTATCTGTTCCGTGCTAAAGGTCTTCTCTCCTCCTTTGCGTCACCCCCACTATTGCGTGATATCTGTTACGTAGCGGTGGTAAGACCGGCTATGTCTCGCTTAGACAAGCTAAGACCAGCGGCCCGAGTGGAAACAATCGGGTCCCCACGTTAAAAACCGACCTAGTGTCACAACCTGGCTCTCGGCTTCTCTTTCTGGATTCTTCTGGAAGAGATCTTCTTGTCAACTCTCTGTTTCAGGGCGGGGAGGAGCCCAGATGAGGCTATGCCGAAGGTCAGCGTTTCGTCTGGGGTGGTATACAAACGCGACCCCATGTATGGAGGGTCTTCACGAAATTTTTGTCCGAGCCAACGGGCTTGGAATTTCCCCACATAAAAACTGGCCTTGTGCCACATTGGGCCTCGTAGGGAGGTCCGGTAAATCCCGTCTCTCTTTCCGGCATGAAATTTTCTGTCAGTAGTAGCTTCCAAGAAGAATTAGTTGATCTCCGCTTTAACAGCGTTGAGGATAAATTTTATTCCTTTTTTCTTGTTTTTTGCTTTCACTCACCTTTTCCATATCTATTTTTCTTGGAAAAATGCCTTTTCAAATTTTCTCAACTACAAATTCTTTTTCTAAACTTTTCTTTCTTCTCCGGTCCTGCTTAACCGTAGAGCAAACCCAGACCCTTTGCTTGTTGAGTAACTAACATTGTTTTGTTAATTTTCTAACCCACCATATTTCAGTGTCGTTTTGGCTCATCGCCATTTTGTTTTTGCCACTTCTGGCATGATCAATTCATTTTTCCGCCTATTCTTACTTGGCGGTTAAAGGCAGCGTTCGTATTTTCTGCCAATGCGTACCAACGCCAACCTTATATTTTATGCTTTGTCACTTCCGGCATGTCCGATTGTTTTCCCGACAAACAATTCTGTCATGAGTCACACCACCAATCAACATGCAGCCATCTTCAATTCATTTACATGGATTGTATTCACCGTCTACTACTCAAGGATATCAAGTGATTTCATTCATGCTTATTGAATGATCTTTAGTCTACCCTTTCTTCGGTGACATATCTATTCTCCAGACTGAATCAAATGAATTTACCGTTGCTCTTAAAGGATTAATTCTTAAATCATTTGCACTGATATTAACATCCGGGAATTTTTGCTATGAACTCTTCCGTTTTCTTTTTTTGTTCAGCATTATCTTGGTCACGTCCTATCATCGACGCCATTCAGTCATTAAACTTCAAACTGCTGTGCACTTGTTTTCGCCCAGGATAATCGGATGTTCATTAGTATTACTTCGGCACTAACATTACTCAGTTTCTCACATAAAAACTCATTCTTTCTTCGAGGACTCTAAACCAAATATATGAACACATCTAAAGAACATTTTTGCATGCATTTGTTTACACCCCCCTTTCGTACAAGAGCACTTAATCAATTCCATGAACAATTTTGCATGCCTATTTGGCATAAAACACGTAAAGTCAGTAGTCCAGCACCTGCCAAACAAGCTGTAGCATATTCTGCGTAAAATCTCTAATGGCTTAGTGATTATCAACTTAAGTTTCGCCAGGGTCAGTAACAACTTGTCCGTTCAAATAGTCCCAAAGAATACAATTACATATGAGATGAAACTAGTGGCCATTTTAACGGTACATCGTCATTATGATTGGCATGTTTGATCCATCTTCCTGACAGATTCTAACTGAGATAAGTCCGCGCAGTCATATATATATATATGTGTGTGTGTGTGTGTGTGTATGTAAATATATACAAAAATAGGAAGGAACGCCTTAGGTAAATAATCCAATGTTTTTTAGTATTTTTGTTTTTATTCTTAAAAAACAGTGCTCAATACAAAAGTAGAGCCAAAATTATAATTATATTTATTTATTTTTTATAATATCTAGCGAAGGAATCATATTAAAAAAAATTATAACATATAAGTATTTTATAAGCGTAGCTTAGATGTGGCACAAGGCCGAAAGTATGGGGCACCTAGTGAGGATCTAACTCACTTTTCAGTTGTAATGGATCTAGTGAGACAAGCTTGCTAACCATTACACCACAACGAGGTGCCCTCTATAGAGATTTTCCAAGCGTAGCTTAGATGTGGCACAAAGCCGAAAGTAGTGTGAAGCCAGTGAGGATCGAACTCACTACTTAGTTGTAATTGTTCTAGTGAGACAAGATTACTAACCATTACACCACCTCGAGGCGCCATGTATATGTATATTTCTTTTTAGTACATCTTTAATTATAATTTATCCTTCTTTCGCTTGGATAACTTATATGTATTTTGGTTTTGTTGCCAAAAATAATTTGGGCCTTATTTTTAATCAAATACTTTTTGTTTTTTATTCAGTTTGTTGTCAACTCATTATTTTTTGGAACAATTATGTTTACGGACTTTTGTTACAAAAAACACTCACCTTACACATATTCTTTCAACAAGTGATCCTTTTGGCAGCTCGAGGCGGTGTAAGGTTTAGCAAGCTTGTCTCGCTACAACAATTTACGACTGAGTAGTGAGTTCAATCCCCACTGACTGCCCCTATAGTTTCGGCCTTGTGTCACATCTAAGCTACGCTTGAAAAATCATGGAGCAGTTGAATAGATTGTTTGTTACTGTCGAACTCTCTGCTCTTGAACCTAGACCCGTTTATGCGAATTCTATTTTTGGCCTAGCCTACGAGCTCGGAGAACCACGGTAAACTTGGCCTTGTACCACATACACCACTCGGGGTTGGGGCTGTTAAATATTAACAAGTGATCAGCAACAAATCTTAACCTGTTCAAGTCTAGGGTTAACCGTTATCTTCCCCTCATATCCGTAAAAACTACCTTCTAACATAACTCTCTACTTCGAGTGGCCCTCAGGCCTTGTACAGGGTGAAAGATACTGTAAAATAAAAAGAAAAATCCCCAATGGTGTCGCAAGCTGGAGTGGACAATCTTTCGCAAAATAACTATTGGGTTGGTGCAGAATTATCAGGCGTTTTTGTAAACAAAATTTATTATGAAAAAAGAAAGATAATAATTCAACAATAACATTTTCAAATGATTATTCTGGAGCCTATTATTATCGACATGCATTTTTGTAACCTGAAAATAAAATATTTTTATTAAAAAATAGTAAACAAAGCAGCAATTTTTATTGACAAATAACTAACCTATAAAAATGACTGATAATTATACATCAACCCGATGGCCCTTTCAGATTAATAACTTTTCGGACGATTTCTAATAGCTTTGATAATTTTGTTTTTTTCAGAATATACTGCTGGTAATATTTCTTTTCTTTTTCCAATAATATTGGATTGGTGTATAATTATCAGACGTCTTTGAAACAATGTTAATATGAAAAAAAAATGTAACAGTTCAACAATAACATTTTTAGATGATTATTCCGGAGCGTATGATTAACGACACGCATTTGTATAACTTGAAAATAAAATATTTTTATTAAAAATAGTAAATAAACCAAAAAAAAAAAAAAAAAAAATTTTTATTAACAAGTGACTCGCCTATAAAAACGCCTGATAATTATGCACCAACCAAATACAATAACGATAGCAATAAGTAACCACAATTAGGAATCGACTACGGCGAAATTCGAACCTATATCTCGTGAGCGTAACGCCTATGCAAGTATTAGCATGCGCTCGCTTTAATCCCGTGTGTAAAAGTTTGAACTTCAATCTGGTTTTCTTTACGAAACTTTCTATGTTTTTTTTTAAAACTTAGAATGTTACTGGAATCAGAAAATACCAATGATTTTTTTTTTCAGATTTTTTCGATTTTCTACACGAGAATCGACAGTCGATCGAAATTGGCTTCCGGAAATATCATTAGCAATGGCACCGTGGCGAAACTCAAATTGGAAAGGCAAATCTAATCACTGATGGACGGCGTAAATGAACCTGAAGATCAAGGTCTGTTCTGCATGATGAGCTTCGGTTTGCGAAATATCATCTGTCGTGTTTTAGAAAAGAAGCTAGCTTCAAAAAAAAAAAAAAAAAAGTATCGAAACATTGAAACAAGATGTAAATGTTCTATCTTCATCAATCATCAATTAGTTGCAGACACGCACATATATATATATATATATATATATATATATATATATATATATATATATATATATATATATATATATATCTGTGTCTGTGTGTGTATGTATGAGTGTGTGTGCGTGAGGTATTTGGTAATCGGCATTACCCACGAATGAAATTTTTTTCAAAAAATATTTGAAATATACGGATTTCTCATTTACAAAAATAAACACAGACACAAAGACAGACACTCACAAAATACACAGACACACACATATATACAGACACACAATCAAAAAGACACACACACGCACACGCCCCCCATATATATATATATATATATATATATATATATATATATATATATATATATATATTACTATTAAACGTAGATTGTGTGTGTGTGTCTGTACGTTTATATATTGGATTGGATTTCCTACATTTTTTAACCGATTTCAACAAAACTTCACAGGACTACGTAAAATTACCTTGCGGTGGTTCTGACAGCGCCAAAAATTGGAAAAAATACTATTGTTTTTGTACAAAATCAATTTGAAAACACGATAAAACACGATTCTGTTGCAAGAATGAAAGGAGAACAACTCATATCGAGTTATACTTATTATAAAACCCAGGTTGTTTGTGTGTGTGTGTGTTCGTTTATATATGAGATCGGATTTCCTACATTTTTCAACCGATTTCAACAAAACTTCACTTTTGTTGGCAGTTCGTGTTTCTTATTGTCTTGCACACTTTTTTCTTTATTTTTACATTCAGAATGCTTTAAAAATTCCATTTACAAGACAATTGTTTATAATAAAATTCTATTCAATCGATAGACTCATAACGATTGAAAACAATGTTTTTGTTTGAGTTTGGGTTTGAACAATTCGTAAAAAAAAAAAACCAAAAAATAAAAACTAATTAAGACATGCGTGTCCGTCAACCTTAAACAATAATCTTTGTCAATTTTATTTTTCAGTCTTTATGATGGTCAATACTTGATCTATCTCTTACTGTTACTTCCCCGGGCAATGCCGGGCTCTACTGCTAGTATATATATATATCATTATTTTCTTGGGGGTACAAAATTTTATTATGGAAATAAAAACGGCAAGACGTGCTTTAACATTCATGATTAAAAGGAAAATAGGAAGAAAAAATTGACCAGCCGACCGGTTTCGCTCTCACTCAACAGAGCTGAAATCGAGGGAGGACTAAATATTGCAATACAAAATATAAAAACATGAGAAGCAGGTGATAAAATAAATGTGATCTCCCCACCTTTATTTTATCATATGCTTCACGTGTTTTTATATTTTATATTGCAATATTTAGTCTTCCCTCGATTTCAAATTGGTAGAATAAGGGCGAAACCTGTTGGCTGGTCATTTTTTTTTAATCATGAATGGTAAAGCTCGTCCTGCGCTTTATATTTACATAATATCTATCTATCTATCTATCTATCTATCTATCTTCCCGTAATATATAACACAGAATGAGCATGACTAAGGATGGAAAGTAAGTTGCTGCTGAATCTTGTGGCACAACTTGGATTGTTTATAAGGTGCTTAGCAATGACATTTAAAGGTATCGGGAACTATCTATGTCAGGTCCGGTCAGCCTTCTCTCTGTAAACAGAGGGAATATTTTTTAGCATTTGACATTATTTCCATCTGATCTTTCCACCTTTATTTCCTCACATGCTTCTTATGGTTTATATTTTATATTATAATATTTAGTCCTCCCTCGATTTCAGCTCAGAATAAGGGCGAAACATGTCGGCTGGTCAATTTTTTTCCTATTTTCCTTTTCATCATGAATGAATATATATATATATATATATATATATATATATATATATATATATATATATTTATTTAAAAATATGATTCAACTCGACATAAGAGGTCTCATGTTTCAAAACAAGAGCAGAAAACTTCAATATAATTATTTGAATTATTGAAGTTTTCGGCTCTTGTTTTGAATCATGAGGCCTCTTATGTCGCGAGTTGGAATCATATTTTTAAATAAATAATTATATTTATGCTCTACTTTTGTATCGAGCACTATTTTTAAAAATAATAACTAAAATACTAAGGAAACTTTGGATTATTTACCTAACCCGTTCCTTCCTATTTTCTATACATTTTCACATATTATATATATATATATATATATATATATGGTATTCTAAAAAATAACGTAATTTGAAATAGGAATATCTGAGTAGCTACACGTCCAAGGCAAACAAGATTAATTAGGATTTATGTTGAACAGTAAAATATTTATTTCTCAAAATTCGAACAAGATATTCGAAGGATGTAGATTTTATAGCCGATTTAATTAAAGCTTCACAAATGCTCAATATGTGCACCGACTGTTTGGCATGAAACATGTCAAGTTAGTAGGCCAGCACCTGCCAAACAGGCTGTAGCATATCTTGCGTAACATTCTCTAATGACTTAATGATTATCTACTTAAGTTCCGCCAGGGTCAGTAAAAACTTGTCCGTTCACATAGTCCTAAAGAATACAATCCCAAGGTGTCATGTGAGATGAAGCTGGTGGCCATTTTAACAGTAGATCATCATTATGATTAACATGCTTGATTGGCAGATTCTAATTGATCTAAGTCCGATCAGTTATATATATATATATATATATATATATATATATATATATATATATATATATATATATATATATTTTTGTGTGCAAATATATACAAAAATAGGAAAGAATGGGTTAGATAAATAATCCGAGGTTCTTTAGTATTTTTTTGTTTTTATTTTTAAAACAATGCTCTACAAATGTAGAGTCTAAATTATAATTATATTTATTTATTTTTATAATATGTAGCGAAGGAATCATATATATATATATATATATATATATATATATATATATATATATATATATATAAATAAACATACATACATACATATATATATATATATAAATTAATTGACTTAAAATATGTTTTTTCCGCTACACAGTTCTAACGATGTTTCAAAAATGGCAGCTAAAAGTTTCTTGATATATATATTAATAATATATATATTAATGTATATTTGGGCATCATTTTTTATTTAGTTTTTTCCAGAATGCTTCCTTTTTTTCGTTTAGTAGGATTGATCGAGTACAAAAACTGTCTATATCATCGATTGTTCCAAGCTCTTTCGGCCACGTCTTTAGTCATTTCTAAGGTGTTTTTTTTTGTGTAGTTAGTTTATTTTGATCTTTTGACAGTGTGAATTTGTGAATTATAATAGCAGCGATCCGGAGCCATCGTATGTTGGGCATGTCTTAAATTCGTATGGGCGATTTTTTATTTTTAAAAACTGTCAGCACTCCGTTACCATTTTTGAACAAGTTTAAATTGATGGTGGGAAGAGCTGTTTGATGTAAAAGTTCTCTCTTATAACGAGGTGCTTTCGGATATTTGATTTACAAATGTCTCTAGTGTTTTCGACTAATATCTTTCTTAAAGGCCCTTGTAGATTATGGATTGATAAATGTTTTTTTTTTTATCGAGCTTTGCTCTGATAAGTGACATATGAGGCGCATACTCAAGGAAGTAGTCGTATGTTCGATGTATTCCGAAGGAAAAAAAAGCGAACGCGCAAAACCGAAATTGAGGAATAATGATTGTATGAAGACCATACTGCAAAAGTCCGCTATTTATGGTATCCGTGATGGTGAACTTTAGGCTACATTGCAAAGATGAGTGGATTCATGCCTTTGCAAAGGGTACTACTGCTAAGTGAAGCTAGGCAACCTCAGCAGAAATTCGAGCTCTGTTCGTTGGTTCTGTTAAGAATTTTTTAACCATTACGTTACATACTACATACATTTTGTATTGTATTATATTTTAAAAGAAAAGGATAAAAAATTAATATGGAGTAATTAATAAATAAAATGAGTGTACAATTAGTGAGTGCTGAATTCTAATTTCAATCTGTTCTGTTTCGTTCACGTATACAGGGGGGAACATTATTGTAAAAACGACAAAAATAATCAAATGCTTGGTAAACCATAAAAAACAAAAGCAATTGGAAAATATTATGAAAGCATATTCTTCCAGTCATTAATCTAAGAACATAATAGGCTAGGCTTTCTTGACAACCAAACTAGGAATAGGGATACTCTGAATTGTAACCAAAGTGGGATGTTTTGAGACTTTGTGTAAAGATCCATATGGGAAACCATTCACGGTGAATTCAAATGAAGAAACTTTCCGTCTAGCAATAACATGGTTTCATCTCAATTGCTGCATACATTAGCTATGGAGCAGTGGCAATGAGCATTATGTAAATATTTACAAAATAGATTATAAAAAATGCCCAGTGGTGTACATCGGCGAAACATACAGAAACCTCGAAAAAGATTATATAAGCTCTGTTGGATAAAAACAATGTAAACGGACTGGTAGTTCCCCGTAAAAACATATTCCGGCTTATTAAATGCCAGTCTGATCCGGATAAAAATAATTCACTGAGAAGTAAATATATTGAAAGAGCTCTAATATCTTAATTCTCGACACTTAAACTGCGACCAGGCTCATACATAGTATTATCGATCATCGCAAAAAACAATGGTAGCACAACGATGTGGTATACGAGCTAGAAGAGAAAACCTACCAGAAATTTAAAAATTCAACAGCTCTGAATATAGATGAAGAGAAAAAAAAAACCTTCTGGTCTCTTTTTGTCGAATCTGGCAATGTAATTTTATTTATTGTTTCGAGTATATTAAAAAAAACAAAAAACAAACAACGTCACATACTTCCTCACATACTTCATTACAACGTGAAGAAACCGAATCTAATATAATTTGAGTGAAACGCGTGGATAAAAAAAAAAAAACTTTTTACATTTTGTTGGCGTACTATATATATATCTATATCTATATCTATATCTATATATATATATATATATATATATATATATATATATATATATATGCACATTTCATGGAATACGACAGAAAATGTGCTTTTATTTTGTTTTTCTTATACAATTTCTCATGCGATCTAATAATGTTTTTCTTTTCAAATAATAAATTATAAAAAAAAAAAAAACTGACCGAATGTTCTTTTTATCCAAGCGCTTTCGGCTTTACATTTAGACATTTTCAAAGATTAAATATTTCAACTGTTAAATAAGAAATAGTATAGCCGAAAGCACTCGGAGAAAAACAATGTTCGGACAGTTTTTATATAATTTATCATCGGAATAAATAAAATATATTAGATCGCATGAGAAATTGTATAAAAACTAAATAAAAGCACCTTGTCTATCGTATACAATGAAATGTGCATGAAAGAAGGATTCCTGCCTAAATACACTATATATATATATATATATATATATATATATATATATATATATATATATATAAACATTTGAGCGCCTGAATGTCCAAGAAATTTCATAGAAAATATATGTCCTTCGACAGGAGTCGAACATGTCTCCTACACAGAACCATCATATAGACAATCAGGCCGGTAAATGTTGTTAATACTGATTATTATCAACAAGCATTTGTATCTATAAAAATAACGTATAAACAATAAATATATTAAAATAATAAATATATATATATATATATATATATTTTTTATTACTTGAATTTTTACATTATTCAGACTGTTATCCTCATTTTCATTGCCATATTCATAACGTTTCGGCCGTTATACGTCCGGACATTTCAGGTGATTGGAATTTAGAACCGAACGCTTTATTTTCTCAACCAGGGTAGATTGTTCTAGTTACACGTGCCATGCCTCTTCTGTATGTCTCAGTTATTTCTCTTTAACTCAACTCTCCAAGATTTATGGTTCACCACTGCTGTGGCTTTTGCATTGAACCTGCAACTCTTTGGACCTAGTGACTGGGTCTAAACAACGTCTTTGTCCACTGGGCTTACGTTACATTTCTTGAATAAATATTATTTGCTCTACTCTATATTGAGCATCCTTTTAAGAATCGTGTTTTTGATCATCAGGATTTTTTATTCCATCTTTACCAACCCTGTACTTTTTATATATATATATATATATATATATATATATATATATATATATATATATATATATATATTACTGAATAATACTTGCACATTTTACATTTTGCCAGAGTTTGAATTATGGGGCTTTATGTCCTCCTTATGCTTTGACTGACCTTCAAACCATATGATGAATATTCATGAACGTTCATAAACCTAGAAGCCTTGATAAACCAATGAGATCTTTGCTTCTGTATATATAAAAACGTGCAGCATAACAAATCCTTTATAACGTTCTTCAGAGAACGAAACCCCTCGGCTAAGAATAGTTTTTCCTCTTCACTATATTTTTTCATATTGTTTCCTTTAAAGATACACTCTACCTGAAAATCTTTACACAAACACAAACACACACACACACGATAATAAAAACAAATATTATTTATTATTATACAGTTCTTTTTTTAGGGACACCCC